TCATTTCATAAGAACTGAAATCAGTTAGTAAAATATCATAGACAACATTTTAAACTAACATTTTAACTCTGTTTCCTTTTCTGCAAATACTCTGCTCTCCGTTCAGGATCAGCATCCCTACCCTCAATTTAGTTATACCCTCAATTTAGAAATACCTGACCAGAGGAGGATTAACAATGATAAAGAAAAGTTAGAATCACACAATTTTAGTGCTATTTTATGCAAAATAACTAAATGAATAGCTTTGAACAAAGTTTATCTATACAAGGGAGTCACTGTTACTGATCTTCACTGGTGTTACCCATAAGGAAGGTAACACCAGTAACAATTTTCATGAAAACTGCATTTTGCAAAATGGCTGCTGCAAGGTATCAAACCACATGTTGTCAATCATGGTATACTCACTAAGTTAAGTAGTTTAATCAATTTTTATTCAAGTTTTTTACAATTCCCAAACAATAAAGTAGGTCATACCAGTGACTTCAACTAAAAGCTTCATATGAAATCATGAGATAAATGAGAAGATTTCTGATAACTGAAAAGAGACAGTGGACTTACCATGGGCTTCTCTTCATAGATCTCCAGGAAATTCTTCTTCTTCTTCTTCTTCTTCTTCTTTCTTTTAATGGCGGTTGGCAAACAACTTTTAAGTGTGCATTACCGCCACCTATCTCCAGGAAATTGGAAGGAGGAAGTCAAGTAATGTCATCAGTGTGATTTTTATTTCAAAATAAGAGCTTTTTTGTTCAACGGTAACACCAGTGACACAACTCCACTACTTTTAATTATATATCTTATAATATTTATTTAGCATTTTGTTTTTTTTTTATGTAATTTACATCATTATATTTGATAGTTATGGACACATTATTGTATTTTAAATGGAAGAAAACACTGTTTTTGACCTCAAAATAAAGCATTTTCCCTCTGTACATGACTGTGGGGACGAGCACTTCTGTGCTGCTTGGAATTCGAATTAATTAATAAAAAATAAAATATTCAAAACTCCGTCCACACCAGCGTTTTAGCTGCGTATTAGAATTGATATCCGTCCACATTAAAACGACTGAAAACGTGGATCACGTGACCATTCACCTACACTGGGCATGCGCGTTCCGGTGTAAACAGGAAACAGATTGACTATTCCTCAGATTTGACGAAGAGGAAAGTAGCTAAGTTACCTCTGCAAAGAGCGACGCTCCATGTACGGTCGATTCCACCGCTGCACACGGGAATTGTCACAGATCGCTCGAATAATAGCACGCATGTACGCAGTTATAGCATTAAAAAAAGGCAGAATTTACTTTCACAACAGCTGCTAGCAAAGACATCAAAGTCAGAAACGCTTGCCATGACTGATGACACCCAACCAGAGAGCCGAACGTGAGCCTCCCCGCGTCATCGTTTCTAAAGTCCTCCACGAACCTGAACAAATTAATATCGGAGTTTTTTCGCCTTTGCGCGGCACTGCTCGACGGACCGTTCATAACTCCTCTCTTTCATTTTATAGCTGATCTTCTTGTACACTTCGGTGTTCTTGTGTGTAGTGTCCAACATACGGGAGATGTGTTCTTCCGATCAAATATCTATGAGGTATTTCACCTCTTCGTAGCACCAAGTCAACCCGCGATTCATTTTGTGTTAGGCTACTGTTGTCATGACGATGTCCCACAATGGAATGCGCGACCTGCACGCATGAGGTAGTGACGTAATGGCGTAAGGAAAGCCCTGGAAGGGTGCGCGATTTGGACTGCTTTACAACAGTGTGGTGTGAACAGAGTGACGTATTAAATTGATTCGGAACATTGTATTCTGTTTCGGATCTGTTCCGGAACAAAACAAATCGATCCAGGTGTGAAAGTACCCTAAGATTAAACCATGCCAGTGAACATAACCAAGCGGACCAAATTCGGATGTAAGTGGACGTTCAGAACGTCCGGGGGATGTCCCTTGTTTGCTGGGATGAACACATCTACTAGTTTAGCTTTTCCCAAAATATATTGCTATACTGAGAGCAGTAAAAATCGACTAAAATATGACATATTCTAATCATAAAAACGATATGTTACAGACGAAATATGAATGTTTAGACATGATTTTGTTGACCTGTTTTGGATAGATCATAAAGTTTTTACTGTAAAATAGACTACTGCCACATGAATAAAGCTTGTGGTCGCCGATACCTGCTCATATGTTAAATAGTATGGGATGTTTTGTCAAAAATAAAGTAGGTATATTGAATTATCAACTAAGATGTTATTATAGTGTTTGTTCTCATGTATATTCAAACTAATGAATCCTTAACTTTGAAATATGTATGATAAAATGTATGCTTTATACAAAGAAAGAATACCCTTGAAATATTGTTATAGAATGTTTCGTTTTTCGTTAATGTTTCGTTTTTCAGACTCTGGACATTCAAATGTAAGCCAAGCCAGCCAGTCGAGGGGAGCAGGGCGACGGGTCCCAGTGCAGCAAATGCTACCGACACAGGAAACGGTCCAGACACAGCGATTTGTCTAAAGACGGTATTCCTCCAAATGCAATTCACAGTGGCAAGAGTGTAAATGTTCTAAAGTATGTTATAGTGTTATAGTGCCTATATAGTGGTATAGGCCATGTTATAGTGCATATTTTGAACCACTGATTTTGTGTTTAACATTCTTCATGACCTTAGACAAAGAGTAAAGTCCAAACTGATATTACATAATTCCACAGTACATATTTTGTTTCTCTGGAAGCCGAGTTAAATGAGTAAACACTGTTACTGCATTCCTGGCATGGGCCCTTAGTCACCTCTCAGATACCAAATACAGACTTAACCTGTAACAGAAATGCCAGAATAGATACACTGGATTTAAAGGTGCATTGCGCAACATTTCATGTTAAAAATACCCGTTTTTCTAACCCATACATGCTTAAACAATTGCCTGATGGGCTGAAGGAGCCCTTCTCTGATCACTACGATTGGCTCTATAATCCTGTACAGTAAAATAAATAAGAGGGATTCAGGACGGAATTTGAGACTGGGCGTGACGTCATGCGCGTTCATATTGTTCATGAACGTGTTTACATAATAATACAATCATAAGTGGATACAGTAAACACATAAAACAGTGAACATGGAGATAGATGGAAACAAAAACCGAAGTTTTCTACTACCCCTGTTTTCCCCTCACACATAAGTGTGTAATTTACTCAAATGCCTTTCCTTTCATATATTTAAAATGACTTGTAGATTTATAACTTTATTACCTCAGAAGACATTATGACTGTAAACAAAAGATTTGTGCGGCTGATGCTCCTTTGGTTATGAACAGCTTGTGCGTGTGTGTGTGTGGTCCATGAGCGTGCACACCTCTGGTTGCAGTTTCGCTTGTCGCCAGAGGGGGCGTAGTTCAGCAAAAACTCAGAGACTTGCGCAAAGCACCTTTAAGAAAACTATTATTACCAATTCATTATATAATATAAAATAGGGGTTAAATCCACTCCCTTCAAAGCCCTTTGTGGCTGTCATGTGACGAAAGAAAGACTTAGAAGAGAAGACTTAGGAGGTGAACTAATATATTCAGTTTTTCTGTACAGGACAGTGACTCTGTTCTGAAATCATTGTCCATTGGTTTTATATTTTGATATTTGTTGATTCACGTGTATATGTGACATTTCATTGGTTAAAAAATTATTTTAGCTTTACCTTTCATTGTTAAAATACTTCATACTCGTCTTGACTTTTTTTCACCAGTAAAATTGAATCGAACTTTTCAAGAAAGTAATAAAAATAGAATTACATAAACTATAAATGGAAAATGAATAAAAACTGTTTGAAAATGTTTTACTTTTTTCTAAACACACTGCATGCTTTAGAAACTGTTTTCTCCTCTTGCACTGCCAGAGTTTTCATTTACGCTTTTGTATTTTTCATTTACACTTCTTGAGTTTTTATTCACCATGTTGGTGATTCTCATTGGCTGTTCAGAGTTGTGTTTACAAGTGACACTGTGAGAATCTGTAAGCGACTTCCTGTTTAATGTTAGTGATAATAATAAACTAAATTTATAAAATAATAATACATTATGTTTTTGAATTTTAGCTATTTTTATCTTCTATCTACCACTATTTTGTCGTTTTCAGGAGCAGTGTTGCTTCAATATCGTGTACTGGACTTTAGTATGGTACAATAAAAATATGAATGTAGCCAATAAACAATCAAACTTCGGCAGAAAACGTTAATGAGTTACTTTACAGCTTCCTTAGAAGCCTGAGATGTTTTTATCTAAGGCTAATCTAAGGATGGAGTTTGGTTTTAATATGTGAAAATATACTAAACCAAACTTTAATGTTAAAAACTAGCATTTAAATTATAAAACAAGAAAAAGACAGGAATAAAACACTGCTCAAAAGAAAAAAAAAACTAAAGTGCAGATCAAAGCGATGTGAGAACTTTACAGGCATGGCTGAACTGTCAGTGGGGAAGGACAAAGACAGCTTATTACAAAACATTAATTTTACTGTATTTTTTCTGAAAACCCTGAACTTTCCCTTTGATATTCTTTCAGAGACACTTTTTTTTATTCCTGTCTTTTTCTTGTTTTATAATTTAAATGTTAGTTTTTAACATTAAAGCTTGCTTTAGTATATTTTCACATATTAAAACCAAACTTAGCCTTAGATAAAAACATCTCAGGCTTCTAAGGAAGCTGTAAAGTAACTCATTACCGTTTTCTGCCGAAGTTTGATTGTTTATTGGCTACATTCATATTTTTATTTTACACAAAAAATGCTGGCAACTTAAAAAAAACTAATGCTGGAGGGGAAAAGAGTTATGTACAAAGTACAAAACACATACTTTAAGTTGCCAGATATAATATATAACTCCCGGGTTCTTGTTAAGACAATAACTGATAAGTAACGAACAAGAACCCAGAAGTTAAATTACACCACTGGCAACTTGTACTTTGTCCGTATTTAGGGCCATTAGTCCTAAGCTCAGCCCCTTCTGTCCTCTCACTCTGATGGACGGTTTATAAAGAGCATCAGATTGCATGAGCCGCTTCACTTTTCTCACAGACACCGATTTCTCTGCACAGGAATGAAATCAGGTATTAAAAAAAAAAAAAAAATTATGTAATTAATGCAATTCCAGTTTTTTTAATCTTACCATGCCTAACTTTTAAATACTGACCAATGTTTACTGTTTTACTGTAACAGAATATCCTGAATAATGGGGGCCCAGGTTTCAGTCGTCAATCAGACTCCTTATACCTGGCACTTTGCCACCCAGGACAGAGGGGTAAGAACTTTTGCATTCACTACACCATATTATTTATGCAATTATGTACTCTAAATTCTGTTTCATAGTTATTTTTTTTCCGCTAGTTAACATGTTTTCTGATTAGCCAGATAATAACTAAAAGCAAGACATAATATCTTACAATGTCAGTCTGTTCTCTACGTTTCATTTTATTGATTGCTTTTCTGATGTAAAAACTGATGTATAATTCTGCTCCATAGTTTACCCGCGTCAATCCTGGCAGCAGAGCACAGTATGAGGAGAAAAAGTTAATCCATCGCTACATCTACGTCAGATATGGTAATCACACGTGGAACAGTTTTACGTACGAGTTTAACACCCATAAAGGCGACGCCTCCTTCATCTTAAGGGAAACCTTCGACCGTTCCAAGATTCAGATGCACTGCACCTCTGAGGGCGGCACTCATTACTGTCCCAACTATGGTAAGTTTCTGCAAGTAGATCAGTTCTGCACTACACTATACAGCCAAAAGTATGTGCACCCCGACCATCAAATCAAATCAAAGTTTATTTATAAAGCACCTTAAAAAACACAGTGTGTACCAAAGTGCTGTACAATTTCAAAAGTATAAGATAAAACACAGTAAAATACAAAGAAAGAAATAATACAATAATAAGAATAATACTAAAATAAACTAAAATCAAAGCCTAACGGTCAGGGCCGGCCCGTGGCATAGGCAGTATAGGCAAATGCTAAGGGCGCAAGCGCCTTAAACCCTAGGGGGGACGCCAGAGCCGCGTAAGGAACTTTCCGCTTTTATTGTACTTCATTAACACTACAACGAGTGGAGCAATTACATACGCTTGCCAGTGGCGCAAAAAGTGGGTATACCGGTAGGCTTATGTATAGCGGAGTAGGCGCCCTCATAAGATTTCATCATAGAATTTTGACAGGGGACCCCCCTCCAATAATATCGCGCGCGGGCGCCGTGAGCGCTGAGCGAACAGGCACGAGTAGTGAGTTGTCGTCGAAAAAGATAAATAAAGCAAAAAAGCGGCCGGGGGCTAAAATAGAAATAGCCCATTCGTTTTGTTTTGCTTAATCGGCGGCGCTGGGTTAGTGCTGGTGTAATGCATTGGTAAAAAAAAAGCTTTTTTTCTGACACCGCATGAAACGCGTAGATCAGCGGCCCATTGGTTGTTTTCTTGATTGACACTGGGCTGGCCCAATCACATCTTTAATGTGAAGTACTGAAAAATACTCTTTCTATTAGTATAGAAATTAGTACAAAACTTATGAAAGTTTCCTTTATTTTTCAGTGCATTGTTTTACAATGAGTATTATCATGGGATTAATATTATAACTATTATTATGTAAACAGACGCGCAAAAATCAATCTCGCCTAGGGCAACCAAAGGGCTAGAGCCGGCCCTGCTAACGGTCCTTACAAAGTAGCAAAGGCCTCATCAAACAAATATGTCTTAAGCTGAGTTTTAAACATGGTTACAGAAGTAGAGGATCTGATAAACATTGGTAACCCATTCCACAACTTAGGAGCAGCGACTGAGAAAGCTGACTGATTTTGGTATCTCAGAGATCTCTGTGAACAACTAAAATGTATAAGTTCAGAAACATATTTTGGTGCAAGTTCATGCAGAGCTTTAAAAGTATACAAAAGTACCTTGTACTTTATTCTAAAATAAACTGGTAGCCAGTGTAACGAGGATATATGATCCCTCTTTTTTGTAATTGTCAGCAACCTTGCTGCCGCATTTTGTACTCTCTGAAGACGTGACAGAGAAGACTGACTTACACCCAGATACAGAACATTACAGTAATCAAGACGTGAAGAAATAAAAGCATGAATTACTTTCTCCAGATCACTGAAAGATAGGATAGATTTAAGTTTACTGATATTTCGCAATTGAAAGAAACTATTCTTCACCACCCAATTGATCTGTCTATCAAATTTTAATTCTGTGTCAAAGATAAAACCCAGATTCTTAACAAGGGTTTTCAGATTGGATGACAGAAGACCTAGGTTTTTAGCTATAGTATTTGCTCAGCTATTGGGGCCAAATATAATAATATCTGTTTTGTCCTTATTTAAGGCGAGACACTACAGGTGAATAGGGTAAAAATTTAAAATAATAGATATCACCATCAAAAATCCTCAGTTGATTACTTACACAAGTATATAAAAAAAGTATTACAAGTTTTTGAAATTTGTATGTTTAATTATGCAAATTAGGCATTATCTAATTAAATATGCGCGATTTTGCATATATTTTCGGTAGATAGATCTGAACATATGATAAAGCCAGGTGCAAAATTCTTTTTTCATTTTGTTTACAAACAAGATGAAAAAAAAAAGTTCAGAGGGATTTCAGGATATATGCTTTTATTACCTAGGAAATCAAAATATACTGTCCATAGCCTTAAAAAATCGATTTTCGCCATTTTTTTTTTATTAAAATGTCACATAAATCAGGCCAAGAATGATTTATTAACAAATCCCTCTGCAAATATCTTCAGAATACTGCTAAGTGTATAACTGGAAAGTTTGGTGTACATAATGTGCTACATAGGCATAGATGTTTGTACTGGAGAATGACAAAAAAATAATTTTGAGAAAAAGCCACTTAAAGGGGAAAAAGGTGAATTTAATACATTTCTATTGGAAAAAATTGCTCAAAAACAGAATAAAATGCTCAGGCCCTTAGTAATAATAATATATAATATTTCAAGCTCATGAAAACTGATTATTTAATAACATGGCAGGCATATAAGGCCTACAACCCCTGTAACTTGTTTTCACCCTTTTTCGAACTTTCGACCCCTGAACGAAGTCGTGGGTCCACCAAACTTTTCGGCCCACATCAGGGGGCCGTGGCAAGATGGAAAATGGCGCCCCCTAGTCGATCGGCCCTTTTGAAGCGGTCTCCGGGAAACCACTACAACAAACCCATTCATTTAATGGGCGAGTGGGATTTTTCCAGAAAGGTGCGGGGTCACTCAAATTTGACAGGGGTGTTCAGAAGGTGCCCTGGAATGACATATCGATAGCGCAAGGCGATCGTGGTGACTTTGCGTCGGATGTCAGTAACTGGCCATGGGGGGCTATGGGGTAGGTTGACGGGTCGCGTACATGTGCACCGTGGGGATCTCGTGACAAGAAAAAAAAAGTAGTGGGCAATTGGACAAATAGTGGGTTCCTGAGACGGGGGCGTGGCTTAGAGGTCGGGGGGGTCAATGGGACATTTGGCGCGTTGGAATGCTAACTTCTTGTTAAATTCGGGAGAAACTTACTGCCGCAAGTAAACAAAATGTAATAAAATAAACATCTTAATGTATATTTTCAACGTTTTCTTTATAGCAGCTTGAAAGAACACATATTGAAGGAGTAAAATAGCCCAAAATCTCAATGACACCCAGATACATCTGGGTGTCATCAGCATAAAAATGATACGAAATGCTATATTTCTCAAAAATAGAACTAAGAGGAAGCATATACAATGAAAATAGCACTGGTCCCAGAATTTAACCTTGAGGGACCCCACATGTGATCGAAGCTATTGATGAGGAAAAGTTTCCAATTTTAACAGAAAAGGTTCTATTATGAAGATAAGAGGCAAACCAGCTTAGAGCAGTTACTTGGATTCCCACATACTGTCTTAAACGTTCAACCAAGATTAAATGATCATTTGTATCAAATGCTGAGCTAAGATCTAGCAAAAACCAAAGCAACATTGCTACTAGAGTCAGTCTTTACTAAAAGGTCAATAACTACCCTAAGTAGAGCCAATTCTGTGCTATGACCTGATCTAAAACCAGATTGAAATTAGTAAAAAATTACTTCAGCTGACTAAAAACAATTTTTTCCAATATTTTGGATAAGAATGGTAGCTTAGATATTGGCCGAAAATTATTAGGATCTGTTGGACCTAGGCCAGGTTTTTCAAGAGGAGGCTGAACAACCCATGCTTAAGACTTGAAGGAACACACCCACTGGTCAGACGGCAATTTTTAATAGAGCAACCTTGGTCCAATAGTATCTATGAGCTTGACGAACAGCTTGGAGGGGAAGCACATCATTAGATGAGGAAGTAGGGTTTAAATGCGCAACAACATCCCTAATAAATGAGAAAGAAATTGGCTCAAATTTAGATAACTTTTGAGATATAGGGATTAATATGGAAGTTATATTAGATTTAGATGGTGTAATCGACAGTCTCATATCCTTAATTTTTTTTAATAGAAATCTTTAAAAACATGTCAAGTATTTGGTGATGGATCAGGACCAGTGCTGCATTCTGGTTTAATAAAAGTAGTTATAGTTTTAAATAGTACCTGTGGACTGTGAGCATTTTGTGCAATTATTCCTGAAAAATGTTCTGCTCTTGATGTTTTCACCGCTTTTTCATATTTGCATAGACACTGTCTTAGAACCTCGTAAGATACCTGAAGCTTATCTTTTTGCCATTTCCGTTCTGCTCTCCTACACTACCGTCTAAGTAACGGAGTATTTTCATTCAACCCTGGTTGGGTTTTTGTCTTATATCTCCTTAATATGTATGGGGCAACATGGTCAAGGATATCAGAACAAGCATCATTGAACAGATTAATCAATTCTTCTGGACCCACTGAAACAGATGGAGATTCAATAGTGTAAATTAATGAATGACTATAAAATGCTGATGAAAAATCACTGACTGTATTAGATGTAATCCCACGAGAGTAATAAGCAACAGGCTGTTTTTCTGGCAGACCACATAAGAGGGTAATATTAAAAACAATAGGCTTATGGTCAGAAAAATAATGATCTAAGATCTGTATATTGCACACAGAAATACCCATTCAAAGGACCAAATCAAGAGTGACCATGCTGATGAGTAGGGCCAGCCTACTAAATGAATCAATAATGTTTAAAAACTCAGAGACTAAAGGGTTCGATTGACAGCAAACATGAATGTTAAAATCACCCAGAAGTACAATGTTGTCAAAAGAAGTTACAATCACAGATAAAAAGTCTGAAAACTCCTGTATAAAGTCTGCATTATATTTAGGAGTTCTATATGCAAGAACACATAATACAGGACAATTAAAAATGACTGCACCTCAAATGGGCTACTGTCACACCCATATGTGCTTGTTGAACGTCCTATTCCAGATTTATTTCCCATTTGCTGTTATAATAAAGCTCCACTCTTCTGGAAAGGCTTTCCACTAGATTTTAAAGCTTGGCTGTGGGGATTTGAGGTTTTTCAACTACAAGAACATTAGTGAGGTCAGGGATGGATGTTGGGTGAGGAGGCCTGGAGTGCAGCCGCTGTTCCTGTTCCTGTTCCTCCCAATGATCTTCAGTCGGGTTGAGGTCAGGGCTCTGTGCGGGACACTCGAGTTTTTCCACTCCAACGTTTAACACACCAGGGGCCGTATGTAAAAAAACACTCAGAGTAAAAGTTTAGTCTTAAGCGTGTCAAAATTCTACTAATTATTTTACTCTTATTCCCTAAACTTAAGAATAAGTGTGATTCATAAAGGTTCCTAAGTGTTAATACTAGGTCTCAACCCCTAAATTACTGAAGAGTGCTGGAGAGGTATCCTAACCTATTTAAGAAATTTAATAGCTTCTCCCACTCTACAAATCAATGCTTTAACTATAGAAATGAAAGTATTAATTAAATGTTTGACTGTAAAAATGCAGCAGTGATGACTTTGGCCCATCAGTCCACAGTAGGCAGGGTCTTACAAGAATAGTTGGTAACACTTTATAATAACTGTATGCTATTAATCATTAGTTAAGCATTAGTAAACGGTTAATTCATAATTTATAAAGAATTAACAGACATTAATAAACAGATTATACATACATCTATAAATGCTTTATACTTGATTTATAAGCATATATATATAATGTTTAATAATTGTATTTTCATACTTGAATTAATGATCAATTTATAATTTCTTAATGAAAAGTATTGCATTATTTACAAACCAGTTATTTAGGTGTTGTCAGTGATTCATAAGATCACTTAGAAACTAAGTAAATGATTAATAAACATTTTAAATGTACACAGTGATACAGAACATAGAAATATTATTTTCATGATGCAAAAAAACTGCACAACTGTGCACTTGACATAAAATGACAAATGAATCTCTGCAATGTTATAGAAAATAAAATAGCTTATTTTGTTGATTTTTTGTTAATTTTTATGATATTGTCGAAGTTTATTTTTCATTTTAAATCAAATGTACAGTTTTATTTTTTTGCATTGTGAAATTAATATTTCTATGTTCTGTATCACTGTCTTGTGTTTGTTTCCTTTTTCAGAAGATAACTGAGCCTTTAAATCTCCTTTGTAAAAGCTTTACAAGGCATAAATAGTCCTCACTTTAGATGAGCTCACAAAAATAGTTAACTGACAACTAGGGCTGCACGATACTGGGAACATATGCGATATTGTTGTTGAGTATTGCGATAACGATATTTCTTGCGATATAAAATTTCCCTAGAGAAATGCTATTTTTATTAAGCTTTAAAAAAAATCATTTATATGTAATGATCATACTAAAATAAACAGGTAGGCTAATTTTCAGAATAATATCTGGGGGGTTTTTTTCAGAAGGAGTTACACTTGCAAAACTTTGATTAATGGTTGTCTGTGAGACTCTGTTATTGTTACGTGGCATTTCCTTAGCAGTTTTGGTAGATGTGGGCTTACACTTTTTGAAGTCTTCATAGCCCCGAGGCTTAATTGATGATAGTAGTAGAGATGAAAAGATAGTGAAATAAAAAGATAAAGCCCCATCCAATACAGTCTCATTGTGCGGTTAATACAAACAATAGAGGCATTTCTAATGTACAGCTGCATGTGGCTAGTGCGGCGTGATAGCGGGTAATTATTTCAAATTGAGTAACCCATAAACCGATAAAGTGTAATAAGCACGTTGTTTCTAATCTTGTGGTGTCTGATGATATCTTTAAACAGGAAAAATAGAAGAAGATGAAAAACAAAGACAGCAAGAGGAGGAGAGAAGACGTCTGGAACGGTTGGAACGTGAGCAAAGTATTCAACAGGAGCTGGACAGAGAGAGTGAATCATCCAGACTCAAGCTTTCTCGAGCAACTGAGCGGCTTCGTGAAAAACAGAGCTTCAGAGGTCACGAGCAACATCATGAACGCACACAAGTTCTCCATCAGCAAATAGAAGATGACGCTGCTGCAATTGAGAGGGACGAGGTATGAATAATTTGGATTGAGCAACATAACTGTATACAGCATGTGATAAAATATCACTTTTTACTGAGACCCATTTTTGTTTTGCACATTTATGTAGGTTACCGATGTTGAAGAACAATTCAAAGACATGTTGTTAAAGTACCAGATCACAGAAGATGAAGAGGTACAGCATGACCAGATTTGGGACAGGATTAAGACCCTCCAGAATGAACTTGCAGTTCAATATTGTAGAGAAAACAACCTTTCAGTATGGTCTGAGTTTACATTTGATCATGCTATAAGATATAATGAGCTGTCTCTTACAGAGAAGCTCACAGTTCTTGAGGCATCTCTACAGTTCATTCTGAACAGTAGCACTGAAGACGCTAAAGATGATGAAGACAAGCCACTTGGCTGGGAGAAGAAGTATGATTTTCTCTTGGGTTTGGTGGAGCAGCTTCATGCCACAAATGCAACTTTGGCAGAACACATTTTATTAAATGTACTTGACATAATCTCAGAGCTTTCACCACAAAGTAGGGGCATTTTGGGTCAAATGTTGTTCAACAGAATCTGGACCCCAACAGAAATAATGCTCTTCATTTGCAAAAGTCCAGGTATCAAATGTGATCAACTCGATTCAGTTCTCCACACGGCACAAACCTACCACCTGGACTGCATCCACGTTCTCTCTGCTCTTACGAATGAAAACCCTCTAATGTTTCTTGAAGAACAAATAAAAAACGACAAAGAAAAAGATGCTGATACAATTGTGAAGGAACTTCGTGAAGCAAACTGTCCAGAGAAAGTCTTGGTGCTGTTGAAGGATGTGCTTCGATACGTAGAGTCGGAACTCCCAAAATATAAATTGGTGGACCTTACTGAAGAAAAAGTCGCTGATTTGAAAAGGAAGATAACATCCCTTAATCTTACAAACCCAGATATTGACATTCTGAAAGACGTATTAATTGGAATGTCAATAGCAGTGCAAGACTGCTCAACAATCACCACAAAAGACAACATGAAGATTCAAGGCTATTTTCCAAGGTGTACACAACTAGCATCGTTGCTTTTGCTCCTACTGGCACAGCTGACAGAAGATAAAGGATGTCTTCTAGAGATTGGCACAGGTGAGGGAAAGTCCTGTATCTTAGCCATGTTTGCAACAATTCTGGCAATCCGTGGAACAAAAGTGGACATTGTGACAAGCTCTCCAGTTCTAGCCAGACGAGATCAAGAAGAGTGGAAAAAGTTTTTTGAAATGTTTGGTGTCACCTCATCGGTAGTACCTCCATGTTACTCAAGTAACTATTCACCAGAGGAACAAGAGGAACATCTTAAAGATGCTTACAGGCAACAAATAGTATATGGCACAGTGGGAGTCTTTGCAGCAGACACACTTAAACAGGAATTTGAGAAGAGAACTACTCGCGGTACAAGACAATTTGAGCTTGTAATAGTGGATGAAGTGGACTACATGACATTGGACAATGGAGTTCAAGTAACATTCTTGTCCCATGAATCTAGTGGATTTAGGCACGTAGAGCAAGTGCTTTCCAACATATGGGCCATGATATCTACTTGTCAACCAGTTGAAATGCTTGAAACACGGGAGATAAAATGGGCGACAAGGATACAGTACTTTCATAAAGCCGTAACAGCAGCCGTCATGGGACTGGAAACAGACAGCTTTTCAGCAAATGAGATCTTGCTGCCTGGAGTGACTTTGGAATTTTACACTCAGGAGGACATTGAAATTATACGTCAAGCTGAGACCAAGAAAGGAAATGATGATGATGGAAATGAGGACAGAATGTCCAAAGCATTATCTGAAGTCATGAAGAAACTTGGAGTTTCACATCAGTATGATCTACTGAGTATATTTGAGGAGGTCTTGGAGAACAGTGCAGTGTTTAAGTGCTATACGTTAGAGAATAAGAAAGCAAAATGTTTTGAAGCTCAGGAAAAACGAGGTGACCTTAATGTTGAAATGCTACTGCTGGAAGGAGGACTGGCATGTGAAATCATGTCTGAGAAATCCCTCATTGATGCAACTGTAAGCACAATAAAGTCATATATCAAGTACTCAGATAACCTCCAAACAGCCGAAGAATCCACCAACTTCATTGTCATCCCGGTTTTCTTGAAAAGCTACGTTGAGAATCAGTTACCAGTTTTTGTTGAGAATGCACTAAAGGCTGTTGAGATGTCACGGGGCCGGGAATACATGATCGACACCTCACCGGCCGGTGAAAGAGTTGCTGACAGTCATGACATAGACGAGTATAATGCAATAATTCCAGTGGACTTCAAAGCGAGCGGTGTGCTGGAGAAAAACAAGAAGTGGGGTAATGGTCTGCAACAATTTTTGGAGTTCAAGCACCGACTTGCGATTTCTCCAATATCCAACGTGACAAACTACATGTCAAATTTCCATTATTTTCAAAGGTATCTCAGTGGGAGTGGTATATATGGGGTTTCTGGTACATTAGGAGGTAAGGCAGATCAGGGCTTTCTGGAAAGACATTATAAAGCCAAGAGCTACACTGTACCTGCACATCGCCATAAAAGGGTGGTGGAGCTTCCAGTCGTCCAGGTGAAAGGTGGGAATCACCAATGGATTCAGACTATTTGTGAAACTTCATGGAAAGTAGCAGACAGAGGGCAAGTTGTCTTGGTAATTTGTGAAGATGTTAAAACAGCAGATGAACTACATGAGAAAATACAAGATGGTGGCAGATTTAAGGCAGAACAGATTACTCTGTACACAATCAGCGAGAAGCACAACATTGAAAGAGAGAAATTCAGTGCAGGCAGAATAATCATTGCTACAAATCTCGGAGGACGGGGTACAGACATCAAGGTTGATGAAAGTGTGAATAAGTGTGGTGGTCTTTTCGTTCTTCTTACTCACTTTCCACCCAACCGAAGAGTGGAGAAACAAATATTTGGTCGTACGTCTCGAAAAGGCAATCCTGGGATGGTCCAGATGGTTGTAAACTGTGATCATCTCGCACCAGCTTACCAAGGTCAGTCTGTGGAAATCATGCGCCAGCTAAGAGAAGATTATGAAACTAAACGAATTCACGACATGGAAAGTGATGAGCTGGTTGAAATAAACCTAAAGGAAAAACTGTTCTCCACTTTTTGTACATTGCTGAAAAACTTTGATGGGCATTACACACATCAAGAAAAACTGGACCCCATTGGAATGCAGCTCCAAAATATTCCTGATTGCTTTAAACATCATCAGCCTAAGTTTGATTATCAGCCAGCCATCAACGCTTTGAAAGAATCTTGGGCCTTGTGGTTGACCCTTCACGAAGATCACATCAATAGGCATGATGACTTCAGACAACTTGAAGCAGACCTTATCAGGACAATAAACGAAACAAGTGTAAAGCTGCTGCAAGGACAATGTAATAATTTATATGATCACATCAAACAGGCAATTGTAAGAACTGATCTACACTGCCGCGACAAATCCAACAATGCCTTTGGAGCCGAATCCTATTGGCAAAAAGTTGCTAACTTTGACCCACACTACAAGGCTGTGGCACTCTATAACCAGGCATACATCACCATCAACCTCGGTAAGGGTAACTATAAAGCAGACGCTATGAAACTGCTGGAAGACGCAAAGAAATCCATTGACGTCTACGTCTCAGAAGTTTCAAACACAATGGTCTCAAGTAACTTATCAGTCACTGGTAACAAAGATCAGAGTACAGACAACAACAACTTTCAGAGTCAAATGGAGGCCAGAATGAACATCTTTAAGTCTTGAAGGACGTACATTGATAATGCATCAGCTAAACTTAAAGAGCTGGAGAAAAACAACAATGACGCCATTACAGAAGACTGTTCAGTCTACATGCTTTCTGAAGAAAAAAACTTCATCATCACTAATGAGCTGAGATCGTTATACGACTACGGCCTCGGTGTTGTTTTTGAGGTGAAAAAGAAGCCCAAGTTTTGCATTGATGCTTTGATATGTTTCGTACTCGGGGTGGTGCAGGTTCTCGCTGGGATTCTTATTTGTGCGCTGACACTTGGAACAGCCAGCCAGTTTGGAATGGGCCTGATTTCAGAAGGAGTGTCTGACATGATCAGTGGAATAGAGGGGATGATAAAGGGCACATCTGATTGGGTGTCATGGGCAATATCTAAGAGTATCAGCATTGGCCTTGCTTTGCTAACGGCTGGTTTTAGCGTTATCAAGAAAGCAGTTACTGCAGTGTTTAAAGTGACAAAAAGTATCCTCAATGGTACAAAGTCTTTCTCTTCTGTTGCTTCTGAAGTCATCAAGTCAGGAAAGGCAATGTTTACTTCATTCAAAGGAAGTGTTAAGTCTGGTTTATCGTCCCTCGGTAAAGAATCTTTTAAGTCTGCAATGAAAAACATGACATCTTCAACAGTGGTCAAACAGAACTTCAAACTTGCGACTAAATTTGCAGTTAAGGAAATCGGGAAAAAGACTGTGCTCACTCTCATGAACTTTGCAATCGATGAAACACTTAAGGAAGTCTTTAAGAAGATTTTACAAAGCAGTTTTGAGAATGCTGTTACTTTATCAGTGAAGCAGAGCATTGAACTGGATCAGGCTCTTGTCGAATTCATCAGCTCAGGCATTCCAAAAGCTGCCTTGAAAAAAGAGAATTTCAAGATTGACCAAAAATATGAGAAGCAAATAAAAAAATCAGTTGGTATGCTCTGCGAAGAGATAATTCCTCGCCTCATACTGGACTGTTCCACAGCACGGGACGTTATCAGCAAACTCTCTGAGGTGTGTGAAGCAGCAACAGAGCTCATGAATAAAGCAAAACTGCCAGGTGTGATTGAAACAGCAAAGCTGGTTCTGAAAGTAGCTGAGTACTCAACAACTCTCTGTCAAATATTGGGAGCTGTACCAACAAAGGAGATTATAGACCAGAAATTTGTTCCTGAATTACTGGAGAGCATCAGTGAGCTTGAGAAAGACATGACAAAGTATGACCAAGATGGACGTCACAATTTACATGATGTACAACGCCTTAAAGGAGAACTTCTACAAAATATTGCACAGAAAGTTTCTGAGCTATTCATCAGTTCGTGTTCTACACACATGACTTCGTTAATGACCAGCACATTTAAGAGACAGTTGAACAGTGCTGCAGGACAGGCGGTAGACAAGGTCATGCACAGACATAAGACTCAGCGTTTCTTTGATGACCAGAGAGGAAAACACAACAAGAAATCTGCGAGCCACAAGGAAGTGGAAAATCTGTCAGATGAGGACAGAACAAAACTAATGCAGTATACAGAAGATATGTGCAAAACTGATCAGCCTGTTAAAGCTCTTGATGTGTACGTGCTCACAAAAAGTAACCTGCTCGATGGAAAAGGAATTAAACTCACTGTCATTGATGAAAATGGGAAACAGCTCACTGAGGAACTTTACCCAGGAACCAGCAAATCAGCAGGCGATATAAAACTGAGATTAACCCAATCTGCAAAAAACCCACATACATCACAGTAAGACTAATTACTAGAGCATTACACTGCTCACATATAGAAATAAATTTCAGTTCATGATTATGAACTTTGTGTACTGAATGTGGTTACTTTTAAAAACAGAGCTGATGCACAGCTGTACAGCGGCCATTTTGACATTGTGCAGGATGATGGCAAGATAATCAGCGTTAACTCGGATCATCAGAATGCTCTTTATCATGCTGTAGCACAAGCAACTGGCAGTAAGATGGAGGAAGCATTGGTGCTACGTAAGAAAGTGAAAAATGAGGTGAGTAGAAGATGATTTCTTCATGGGACAATGGGCCTCATTTAGCTATCTAATGTAGAAACGAGTGCAGAATCATCGTACGACAGGGTACATGTGTGATTCATGAAACATTCATATGCTGCCAATCCCATCGTATAAATTATCATATGTTGATAAATGTGGTGTCTCAAAACAGTTGTCATTTGAAAATCACTCCTTTATCACTCCTAAGTTTTAAAAGCCTTGAACCTAGAGTTTACGACCTATAACCTGGCCAAGAAGAGGAAGTAATCATGAAAAGAGAAATTGATCTTACTCCAAAAACACCTGTTACCCTCATAATTGCAAACAGTTAAATTAATTTATAAGAATATTAAATACTGGTTAATAAAACTAAACATTTACAAACATTAAACACTATGGAAATGACCATATGCTCAATTTTCTGTCGTATGTTTGTTTCGTAATTGAGGGCCAAAGCCAGATTTTCGCTCTCAGATTGACTAGTGTACTGAAATCATTGGCTGTTTCTCAGACAGGGGTGCGTTTCCCGAAAGCATTGTTAGCCAACTATGGTCGCAAGTTCCGTCGTTATCAGCATAGTTCAACGAGTCGATGTTTCCCGAAAAAATCGTTCCAACGAACATTGGCAAGCAGCATCGCAAAGTTGTGTGGTTGGAGCGACAGCTCTCGAGCTGTGGTCAGAAGCAGAGTTTCTAGATTGCATGACATGTGGACTTAATAAATCCTTATCTTGAGCAAAATAAGCAAGCTGACATTCAGTACAACCTGTGTCCTATTTAGAATACATACAAATGTAATTTACGTCTTTGAGTTTGTCAAAAGATTTAAAGCACCGTTTTTGAAGACTGCGCATGTGTGAACGAGCTCTACTATGTAAGAAGGAGCCTATGATTGAATCTGGAAATAAAGCGAAATACAGTAACTGAGAAAAATTAGAAATATTCCTCAGATGCCATGTCTGTAATTTATTTCAAAACATCTAGCATTAATTTGATCTCAAACGGTTTCATTAAAATAAGAGAAATATACAGATGGTACTTACCCAGAATGCATTTTCTTTGCCACCACATTATTTCTGCAATTGAATATATAACCACAGAGTAGCAGACAACCGTGCAATTTGCAGATTATATAAAAAAGAAATACTATCAATAGTTTTTTTTAAATCACACTCACATAACCAAATGTAGTAATCAAAAGCCAATGTAAGCATTTGCTGTCTAGAACAAATTCAAACCGAGCAGTAAATGTCAAAATGACATCGCGTACATAAAATTTGCTATGTATTGTACCTAATAGGACCTACATAATCATGTTTCGCTTGGTCCCTTCAAAGTCACGGTAGATTAAATCGTTCCCAATTCCTGGGATTCCTTGGGGGACACGCCAACAAACAGGTAATTCTGCCAATAATTATAGGGACTATGAAAATGTTCCTTCGGTGCGAAAGCCCCTCCTGTGTGGTACAGAAAAAAAGATTCCTGACCAATCACCTGCACATGTGACGAGAGATGATCAGGATTGTGTTTAATCCAAGGGTGTAATCCACCAGCCGGAAACTGAAGTCTCCCCGGGGGCCGCCATTGGCTAGCAAGCCTTCACCTGCTGTTAGCACTCCATTGACTCCCATTCATTTTGGCGTCACTTTGACAGCGAATAACTTTACATCTGAGGCGTTTAAAAACTCCATTTGTCCATTGTTTATTTCTAAAGAAACACGACAATGTATAAAAGGCTCCATTACCTTGTGTCTTACGTTGTGGCCCCGTAGAAGCAGTTTTTATAAAAATAGGCTAACGATTGCATCATAACACGCGACTCTCTGTCGCACAGTAGAGAAATTACCGTATAGACAGAAGTAGAAGCTCGCACGCAATCATGGGGGACGTGGAGGCATAAAGTCAAGGGAGAAGCCCATAAAGAGTCATGAAGCTGCTCCTGCTGCTATCTCATGAACAGCTAATACTCACGATCTCCGGCTCTGCAAGATTCGGAAGGGAATGATTCAGATTCCTCTTGGCACAACTACTAGAATACGTACAGCTGTGAGACAGGCTGCTCACGTCACATCTACGTCGTCAAGCTCAGTTTGAGCCTGCGCAGTGCGCTTGGCAATCAGGAAGTGAGTGCTTCTAATTGACTTCACTTTTCTCTGTTGAAGTCTATGGGGTCGCTGTGTCCATTTCTTTTACTGTCTATGGTTTAATCTCACACTCTTAATTTCTCATTAGATCCAGACAAACCTTGAATCGTACAAACCCCTTCTCAAGAGAGAATACGACTTCAGTCGCAAAAAACCCAGGACATACAACATAACTGGAGGGATTATAAAGGAGACAGACGTTGCTCTGCAGAAATACTTACAGAGTGTTAAATTCATCAGAAGTGACGAACGTATCCTCATCAAAATGTACCATCTTGGATTAGTTGCTGAATATAACAGGTAAAGTTTCTGATTGCTGAAGGTATTTTCTGTTATTTATTCACAACAATAAGACTGTGTCTGGAGATCCACAAAGGAAATAGAGAAGATTCACCTGATACACCAAATATATATATATATATATATATATATATATATATAATTTAGGTATTGAAAAATAGTATACATAATCAGGAGTGTCATTTGTCCATTTATTTGATTAAACACGGCAACAGAATCTAGAGGAAGATCAAATACTCACATGAGCTCTAAATCAGCTTAGTAGTTTAAATAAGCAGATTTCATGCTAATGTCATTAAATCAAATTGTCAGTAATTCTCATTCTCTCTGGACAGTGTTCAAAGTGCCCGAAGGTCCAGTAAGAACAACACTGGGACACTCAACACGAGCCATATTCCACCCAAGGGCTCCATCAGACTAGCTCTGACGTTCATATAAAACCCAAACTCAGTGAGCGAGTTTAAAAATAAAAACCCTGAGCTTCATAAACTGATCAGCAGCATAAAGACTGACAATAATGGACAGAACATGATTGCCATGGAGGTTCTGGGACAAGATCACAGACGAGCTTTAACTACAGGCCCAAGCAGCCGCTCACAGATGGCCAGGTAATGTTCAAGTTACGGACCAAATCCTCATCAAGACAATTATACAGAATGAACACTACAGGAATTTAGAGTAGTATTTAACATTGAATATTTTAGGTACAGCATCACAAAGGTTAAATCTGCTTTTAACATTTGTTTTTTTACAGGAAACTTCTAGCAGACACAATGATTAGTGGAGACGTGGAGCTTTTGCTGAAACGCTGCATGACTCTTCATCACCCGTTTACCTCTCAAAAGCTCAGAGAGGCTCTAGGTAAGAAACTCTTGAGGTGATAATCCTGCAAAACACGTGTATAAACTACCCTCCAGATACTGTGATTTTCCAGGGTGTTTACGATAGACACGATAATGCAACAGCTTTTATGGTGGAAATATAATCTTTGACCAATTAGATAAGAAAGATAAAGAGCTTTATTGTCATTTGAGCCATATACAATGATACAGTAGAACGATATAAAAGTCTCTAAAGCCTTGATGCAACATTACAGAAGTCACAGACAGCCGTGAACACACTCAACAACATGAAGCACACAGATTAGAGGAAGACAAACTGGCAGTAAAAAACGGACAAGACAATAAATACAACACAAGATATTAAGTGTAATTAAGTAAAACATTAATGTTTTTCGTAAGAGCAATGAGGTGTTGTTTTGATTGTTCTTTGTGAATATGAAACTATTCCAAGCATATGTTTGTTTTGTCCTGTTTAACAAAAGTTTGTTTGCTGCTATTGTACATACATCTTTTACTGTACATAATGACAAATGAAAACAGCCAGCTAAAATGTTTTGTCTATATAATGAGATCTGACCATAGACCGTTGTAAAATTGTTATTAATCTCTTATAGAAAAACATACATGTAAAATGTTATTGCTTTGAATGTGTCTTGTTTAAAATACTGTCTTAAAGGGATAGTTCAACTACTATTTTATTTTATATTGTACAGCACTTTGGTCAGCGTTGTTGCTGTCATGAAATGTGCTTTGGACTGAAGATATTAAATGTAAAGCATAACACGACTGATAGATTAACAGAGCTGTTGTGTTGCTGCACTTGATAATATTCTTGTGTGTAACTCCAGGTGACAGCGTTCAGTCTCAGAGCTGTGTTTTGTCGGATGAAGGCATCCGAGGCTACTATAAAGCAGGATACCGAAACCTGGTGTCGGAGTACAGCCGCGTGGGAATCCTGGATCAGACGCAGCGCGAGCGTCTGGATGAGTGGGTGAATCAGGACCGACACGAGGACACCAACACTGAGGAGTACGGACAACTTCTGCAGGGATTGCAGGGAAAATGAAGATGATGCTGGTGATGAAGATGATGGCTATAGAAAGTAGAAAATGATTGATCTCTGCCCCTAAAATCGCATTTATGGAAGCAAAAAAAAAGCATTTTCTATTTGAAAAGAAGCAGTTCTATTTGTTATCATTTTGGTAATTGTAATAATTTATTTCTAGGAAGGAGTGATAGAATAAGAGCATTTAAATCTCAAAACAGTAAAAATGTCTAAAAACATTCTGTGTTCTATTGAAAAAAAAGTTTTTTATTGTAGTTACTTTAGTTTTCATGATACTAATGTTCTAATGTGTGTGTTTAAGGTTTAAACATGTAGAGGGTTATCCAAAAGCAGTTTTTCTCTTCAGTAGACGAGAAATAACACACTGTGAAATCATTTAACTTTTAATCATGTAATTCATAATTATTGAAATTAAGGGAGTTTTTAATAAATTAAATTTTACACATGTAAAACATTTTGAAGATGATTATGGTGATGAAGATGATGGCTATAGAAAATAGCAAATGAGCACATTTTTTTTATTTTAGCAAGTAAAGATGGCTTGATACATTGGTTATCGTTTTGGTCATTTTAAGCATTTATTAGTGATAGAATAAGAGCATTTAAAACTCAAAATCAGTCAAAATGTCTAGAAACATTGTGTTCTATTGAAAAAGTTACAATATGGCAAAAAAAAAATGATGTTTTATTGTAGTTACTTGTATTTTACTTTAAATCATATAATTCTTTATAATAAGTGAAATTAGTTTTTAATAATCTAAATTTTACGCATGTAAAACGTTTTGTTACTAATCTGCATGATGCTGGTGAATGGATTTATAATTGTAACTGATCTCATTTTCTGAAACTTTTGCCAATAAAATTTGATTATTTCACTTATGTGCCTTTTTTATTCTTAAACATGAGGTTATCATGTCCACTTACCCATCATCAAATAAGCAACACAGAAAGTAGGAAAGAGATAAATGACTAAACACATGCAAGAATTGACCAAATATACAAAGTAATAAAAAATAAAAAGGGACCATAAATGATAAGAGATTTTAGAAGATAATTAAAAATATTTTACGATTAAAAAATCCCTCTATAATCAATGCTTGTATTTGGTTATAACTTGATACATAGCTAATTAATTTGTATCTTTAGCAATGCAATATTGCTATAGCTTACAATCCACTGTCTGTATATACTAGTTTTTGGTCCGAGTCCACCTTTGTCGAGTTCAAGTCCTTACTAATCAAGCTGAGGGGCCGAGTTGGACTTGAGTCTGATTTCTTAATATCCGAGTCCGGCCGAGTCCACAGAGATGGAGCTTTAATGTGTAACGCCTCAGTTCAAGCAGCATGTGAACTGATAATGTCTTCTTGGTTATAGCACGAATTAAACATGAATGAACATCAGAACAGCAAAAAGATGTCAATAAACACAATTTTTCTGTTCAAATCCACTGACTGGTTTGGTTGACAAACCATTATGATTGGTCAGATCGCCTGTCAATAAAACTCTGGCGAAAGGTCTCAACACTGAGCTCTTAAATTAATATTTTAATCTTTACAAAGTGTGGCGGGCGACACGAGGGCAGTAAGAGGGGGGGTTTCTTAAAGATTTATAATTAATAGGATTGTATCATTCATACTCCGACTACGCCACTCTGGGAATTTCACCCAAAGAATTAGAGTAAGCCCCAACAAAAGGCACACACAGGTTCGAGTCACCTAATAGAGTCAGAGACATGGGTCGTCGTAGAAAATTGAGTTTTATTAACAATTCTTAAAAGAGAACAGTATAAAAAGGATATAAAGCACTTTGTACAAATTCAATGAACCCCTAAAGGTTTAGGACCAGGTCTAGACAGGGACGAGAGACACAGAGGCAGAGAGTCGTAGCATGCCACGCGCAGGTGCAGGACCACTGCACTTCACTGTGCACAGCACACGCACACACACACACAGATGTTAACACCAAGCACTGCACACGGTGAGAAAGATACCGTCACCCAAGTAAGAATCCTCTGCCCCCGGTGCTCAGGCCCTGCTAACACACAAAAAGGGTATACATCAGATACAGAAATAAATAATCAGATAAAAAGAATCACTTCGATAGCTGGGAGGATTATTAGCGCTCAAATCAAGGAAACCAAAATAATATTACAATTAATAAATTGGAATAAACAGTTAGTTGAAACTAAACCCAAATGTCAACGGCAGCAAAATATATAAAGAAATAAATAAAGAAAACAAACCAAACTCCAGTCAAAATTATTAATCAAAAAAACAAATCAAGCAGTTGGGAGCAAAATAAAGCAATCTAAAGAAATGAACTTATTTCAGAGAAATAATTGAAAAATAGATCATTCAACTTCAGGAGCAAAATCAAATACAAATGAGAAAGCAAGTAGAAACATCAAAATAAATTAGAATGAGAAAAGAGCAAGGATTACAGTTCAGATTCCAGCACCAATCCTTGCAGCTAATATCAGTTCAAAAGAAAATGAAAACTACATGAACCCAAAAAGAAACTAAAGAAAATATCAACTGAAAGTCCCAAATTACAATGGAATCAGTTGACAGTTAACAGGGTCGAAACAGGATCGAAAACAGGATCGAAAACAGACCGAAACAGGATCGAAACAGGACAGCACTGCGGCCGGAATTGAACGCAGAGCACCCCGACTGGAATGAAGTTACAGTCCTTTATGGACCTATAACAGGGCCCTATAAACTACAGGATTGTTACTCTGCTAGATAAATTCTCTACTGCTAGATAAATTCTCTAACTTAATGCATGCACGTAAAACTAATACATACCGATCGCCGAGGAAAGTGAAACGTAGCTTTCTCTGGAGGGGAACTCAGGTTCTCACCACTGAGAAAGGGTATGGATTAGGACACATCCTTAAATACAAACTAGCACTTCAAAACACGCATTTCAACAGAGCCGATTAGCGAGAGATTAGCATGTGATCCCCTGGTTTTAGTCATGTGATCCTGCCATGTGTTCCCTTGTCTGTTGTGTCATGTTGTAATTGGTTTATTGTTAATTGTTCACAGGTGTCCCTTGTCTTGTCCTTAGTATTGTGTGTATTTAAGCCCTCTTGTTTGCCCTGTGTCTTTGTCGAGTATTGATTGTTCCATGTCCAGAGTTTTCATACCTTGCCATGTTTTTGTTTTATGTTTGATTGTGTTCTTTTTTTGTAAATAAATTAAATTTGGGTTCTCACCTCACTTGCCTCCATTGGACCATTCGTTACATGGAGTCTATCTCGTGGCTGAAGTTTGAAGTAGGCGAAGGTTGTAGAGTCATTGAATAAACTTTGCGGCAAAACTTAACTTATAATACCCATGGTTTTCCTTGTGCTAGTCTAGATGTCTCGCCCTTTGGACCTTTAGTCTTGGGTTAACTTACTATTGTTGACAAGCTCTTCCTTTAGCTAGGATCATCTCTTACAAGCTTGCATGGCCATAAATTATTTAGCTGGGGTTTTCCAGACTGAATGGCAGATCCTCTGATTTGGGGTCCTGAGTGTTGATTCGGAATTCGGCTCTTCATTCACAGTCTGAAGGAGTCATTCAGTCTGATTTGCTCTCAGATCCTACACCACAGAGAATAACCATTTCTTACTGCATACAGTACTACTCTTGCTACAGGCTCTGTTTTGCAAGCAGTGACCAAATAATCAATAAAAAAATGTGCTCAAAAGTTTATTTAAATCACAAACACATAACTAGTCTAAACACATACACACAATCATGGACACATGGATAAAATGGAAAGTGAAAGTGAATTCATGAAATGAAACAAATGGAATGAAGCAATGGATATATAAGAGTCACTTAACCACCTGAACAACCATCAGCATGGGATCTACAGATTATACTAATCTTCTGTTTGGTTTAGTTAAATGTATGATACTTGCATTGCCTTAAGCCCAATTTATACTTCTGCGTCGAACTCACGCCGTAGCTACGTCGTGGGCTGTGTGTAGCGATTTGGCGTACCCTGACGTGCACCTCTCCAAAAATGTAACAACGTAAATTTTACGCGTACCGCAAGCGCTGTGATTGGTCTGCTAGAACCTCTCCCCGGGTTTCACACGCTCCCTCTGCATGTGTAATTGCGCGTCAATGCGGACAACGACGCAGAAGTATAAATGAAAACCAACACGTGGTCTAGTATAGCGTAGAGGCTCCGGCGTAGGTCCGATGCAGAAATATAAATCAGCCTTTAGCCGTTGAACGAGCATCCAGACGCAGTCTCGGATGAAAGTCTTGATGGTTCAATAGGTCAATGATGGTGAAGTTGCAATCAGGTACTTCCCGGTTGAGTGAACAGTAGCTCTGTTTACATGCCACTTTGTGACATGCGCACATAGCTTCTTGAAAGCCCACATCCACTCTGTTTTCTCTGACGTTGGATAGTGGTCGCCCATCACCAATGACTTTGTCCATTTGCTCAGAGGGGAAGTTCGTAGGATCCACTCCACTCCTGTTGTTATGCATTTTAGCTTGGTTATACACCGACTTTAACCTTCTGGGGTCAGCAAACGCCGGCACGTTTTGCTCTATTTTTTCCACATAGCAGCAAAATAGACTTAAAATACTCCGTCATTTCTAGTCATACAGACTTAAAGGCACACTATGCAGGAATTTCGTTTTTGTCAAACAGCAACCCCTAGAGATTTGTCGGGGGCACTCCTCTCAAACTTGCATTGCTGGTTTTTCCAGCGGCGTCCCCTCCAAGCTTTGCTACCAGGATGATTCGCCCTACTATGAGTTTGTTTACCACTGAAATGACTTTGAAGCTGTTATATTAAGGTACAATTCTTGCATAGTGTGCCTTTAAGAAATATGAAAAAATAAACAGGGTGTGCTTTCTGGCTCTTCATCACCGTGAACTTTTTTTTGGGAGGACGTCTCTAAACTTAAAACTCAGTGAATACTATTCACCCAGGCATGAGCTATATATCTTTATAATCATTTAAGTGTGTACTTTTAAATGATCTAAT